GACGGAGAATGTATTTCTTCAACAAGATCTCGTGGATGAAGCCTACCAGCTTCGGAATTACAAATCCAGGCATCGCGAGATAGAAGCACCCGTAACTCCTCGAAAGTCCCGAGTGCTTCCCTTCCGCGATGGATTTGACGATGATGAAATCGCCATGGTATCACCCAGCAAGTCAGCAGCGCGTTCCAAGCGAGCCACACCGACAGTTCCGGGGAAACGCAAAAGGCAATCAAGCCAAGATGGCCCTGTATCGCTACAGCTGAGTCCTGCTGGTGTGGAGCTTATTATGGCTGATGCGACTGATACTCCAGCCGAAGTGGACGAGGTGAAGCGCAAGTCTGCAGAGGCGAGTCGCAATCAGCGATTTATGATGCGACTCTTGAGTCACCGTACGCATCCTAACCAAGAAACCGATTTTGAAGCCATGGCCAAACTTGCGTTTCCTTCGGAACCGCATCGGCCCATGTCCAGCATCGTTATGGAGGTCATGGCTCGGGTTGACCCAGGCAGCTACGTATTAGAATATACACAAGCGATCGCCTCGCTATGGCAGCGCGCGATCAACGAGAAGTTCTACGAGCCGATCCCCCGATTCGAAGCTATCACAAAATATAGTTTGATGTCGGATGACGTTCCACTCTCTGAACTAATCACACCTTTAGTTGGAGTCTTGCAAGACACTGTGGAAGTGAATGCAGTTCCTCGCTTCAAGTACGCCCCAGCATCACGAGATAAACGAATTACCCGACAGACACCACAGTCAGATCTGCAGCCCCTAGTCGACTCGACTGGGGCCATGCGTCTACTTTACCAAATCGCCTGCGGAGTATTGCACATAAAAAATGCAATGGAGACATTCTGGCAAAATATCCGGATCTCTTTCATTCTCGTGATGCTACACCCGTCACATCCACTGGGTGACATTGTGCTTTTGATGAACCTCCTATCAACAAGTATCCGTGCAGACTCCTTTGGTCCGATCAGAACTTCTGACCAGGACCAATTGGACGTGCAAAAGTGGATTGTGGACCGCCTCACACACATGCTGAGCGAGCCCGCGATACCGGATGAAGGCGTGGAACCATACACCGCACATGACATTTGTGCGATGCGCCTCGAGGTACTGCTGCTACTGGAGTCGCTGGCATTCCACCCTATGGCCTCGTCCCAAAAGCATGCCAGTACAATCCTCGCATTGCACCCGAATGCACTCGCTCGTTTATTCCGGTCGATGCACGATGAACTAGATGCACTTTACTCCTCTCCGCCAGAGTCAGACCTGCGTGTTGCGCTGGTCAATGGCCTTATGCGGCTGGTTTTTGGGGTCATGAAGCAACACGGCCCCTTAATCAATATGCAGGAGAAGTTGGCGTGTGTGCCTGGCAGCAAACAGAAACATCTCGTTGTGTTAACTCGCTTGGCATTTTGTGATGGGACCGTGCTGGAGGCGGGCATCGATGATGAAACCGTTGATATGGCGCACGAGCTACTGGAGGAATGGACTAATCCCCAAGAAGCGGAGTCATTGGCTGAGGCGTTCCCAAGTTCCAGGAGAGAGTGATGCAGTGACGACTGGGGAGATGTTCAACGTTGTACGACTAAGACTTTTGTATGCATTTAACATGGCGCGGTGTGTTTTCTGGAGTTACTAGCATGTTTTCTTTACCATATACCAAAACAATCTCACTTTTCATACCTCTAAAGCATTCATGGCATGAGGGAAAGGCTACAGAGTACACTACACGTAGGTCCAGTGAGAGAAGTGAGACATCTAACAAACGTGAGCAGCAACATTTACAGGGCTAGTCCATATCTCCTAATGCTTCACTGGACTTTTATCTCTCAGATGTTAGGAGAATGCAAGGGATCAGGAAGGCAGTCCGCGGGCAAGTGAGGGAGCAGTTATGTTTAGCGCAGGGCTAGAGACGGGTTTCAGCTTGGGGACTCGAACATAATAAAGCGATATTTTCGAGTCTCCCGGAACTTTTTACGAGTCTCTCCGAGCCGACAGGAGACTGTGGGCACCACAGAACGTGTCAGGCAAGTTCCAAGGGATGGGCATACTATCCAGAACGCGCTCCTCGAAGTCAGGTAACATGGGTCGACACACAACACGGGACATCAATTTTGAAGACGATGACTTCACAAGCGCTTAGATGCTAGGTATCGATTACAATATACTACATAGCCACTGGACCCTCTTCTCCAACCTCGTGCCTCTGGCTCAAGAATTGATGAAAAGAAAATATTCCACGGATGGAGGGGCCAAAAATATCGCTTGTCAAAAACCCGGAGGTCATTGAACAGGCTGTTCCACCGCGATGTGCAATGCAGGGACAAGTCTGTGGTGACACGTCTTGATGATCACGGTCACCCAAACAAGGTAAGTATGAAGAAGAAAGAAAAAGGAGAGGAAGGGCCGGGTGAGACCGACCTATATATACCCCCCGGGGCAAGGCGGTGGCAAATTAAGCGAGATGTCAATATTTGCATAAAATGCAAACATACCAAACATACCAAACGGCCAATCCCGCATTCCAAAATATACACCTTGTATTTAAGGCATCGATTTCCTTTCAGTCACGTGCTCTGAAGTTTTGAGACTCGGCCAACTTGGACTGGATAACATATCATTGCTACAGCACTGTGTTTACTGACGCCGCCACAATGAGAAACAGAGCTAGCAACACGTTGTCGAAAGGCGTATGTATCTACTACCCATGCTTAATTTCCCCGATTCCAAATGGCTGACAAGACACTGTTCAGAAAATCCGTCAATCATGGAGCAAATACAACCTGTATAACATGCAACGATTCCGCAGCCCACCCACCACCAATCGCACATTCTTCCAGCAAAAATGGTCTGCCAAGGCTGCCTCGCGTGCCTACCACGGCGAGCAAGTCCGCGAGGGACAGTGGAAACGCATGTTCAACCATCGCATCCGCAGTGTTATCCCCATGAATGCATCCGACTTGGCCGCCGATGACGGTTCCTTGGTCTCGTCCGGTCGAGGCTCTGGACTTGATAAGGGTGGCAAGCCCGCTTACCAGACACGTCCTATACCTTACACCAACATGACCTTTGCACCCCTGGAGCGCCGGTTGGATGTAGCCATCTTCCGAGCTCTGTTTGCTAGCAGCGCCAGACAGGCAAGACAGTTCGTCATACACGGAGCGGTTACCGTTAACGGGCAAAAGGTATGATGCGACATGGGAAGCTATTGATTCCTTGCTTACTGACTCGCTTTTGTTACTAGATGAAACACCCCAGCTACCTCCTTAACCCCGGTGACCTCTTCCAGGTCGAGCCAGATCGCGTCTTGTACGCTACTGGTCACACGAAGACTCCATTCGAGCGACGTATGGGCCGAGTGGGTCGGAGACAGGCTAAAGCAGAGAGGTTAGCGGAAGCCGAGCGAGCCGAGGGCGGCGCACAAGAGGTTGAGGCGGAGCCCAAGGAGACCGCAAAGGAAGATACCAAGGAGACTAAAGAGGAAGAGACTGAGGAGACCGAAGAGGAAGATATCAAGGAGACTCTCCAAGCGCTTCTGGCACGGGCCAAGGCTGTCATGTCTGCCGGCAAGGAGACACTCGCGCCTCAGCGCAAGCAGGAGCTCCGCGGCTTCCAAAAAGCCGTCCGCCGCGTATTGTCCCGCTCCGAGTCCAGCACTGTCCTCGCAGACGGCCTGGAAGCCCAATTCTCCCAGCTAACTCTGCTGCTCAAGGCCAAGCGGGCCGAGGAGAAGCCAGAGAAGAAAGTGAAGCCCCGTCCAGAAGACGCCTTCGCAACCGACCAGGGAGATGCAGAACTGGCTTCCGCCAAGAAAGATACGGAAGCCACAGCCAGCGACAAGCTCTCCGAAGCCTTCGCACAGGCAACGCTGGGTAATGACGTCGACGCCTCGGAGCTCACTGACGAAGAGTTCGAAACCCTCAGACGCGCTCTTACTCAAATGCGTGACAACCCTCTCGACAACAGCAAGACCTACTCCACCCCCTGGCAGCCACGCCAATACATGTCTGCCTTTGCCTTCATCCCACGCTACCTCGAGGTCAACCAGAATATTTGTGCAGCCGTGTACCTGCGTCACCCCGTGGCCCGCCCCGGTGCCGCCGAGGTTCCCACTCCCTTTGGCGAGTCCATTGCCACTCCGGCTTATGGCTGGTACCTAAGGAGACGGTGGTAGAGGATGCGATTGGCCTGTCTTTCTCTGCCTAGCCTATCCCTTCCTTGTTTGTCTCTACTGTTCTACTATTTTCCCTCCCCTAAATTTCCCGTCTGTGTATTAGTGGGCGCTTAGATCTCCCTCCTCCCTTTCTGCATATTTCTGGATCATGTTGACCATGGTGTTGGTTCCTGTTTTGCTTGTCTTCGGAGCCTTTTGTGTCGGCTCCGCCCCCTGCCCCCTGTACCACCATAGCCATGACGTGTTGTAAATGGATATATTATTGATGTTATCGTTTCACGGTATATATTGGCTAGTCATCTGTATGATACTTGAATAGGCTTATTATTGATGAATAATCACCTAGTGGTCGAGGTTCGATTTATAGATCGCGAATATATATATAAACCTATATATATAAACTTGCAGCCAATGAATACCAAAATCCAACGTGACACTATATAATTCAAATGTCTACATGCAATCAAGCCTAATGAAGACTTTACCAGAGTGTCAAATTATCCAATTGAAGCTTCAATATTCTTCCCAATGCGTTACAACATACAAGATTGTATAGACCCGAGCTGGAATATATGCTTGGCGCACGGACCTCGGGGAAAACCCTCTGGTGAAATCCATCGCAGCTTTATCTTTATCCCCACAGATCGACAAGGACATTCTACATTGGTCTGCGACATTGTTGTCTTCCTATCGATGGCCACATTGAACTAAGGAGATCATCTCCTAGACTCATAGGCCACCCAACCTACACTGTTGGTCTCTCACAGCGGCTACTCAGTCACTACTATTACTACTGCGCAAGCTGCTCTCTCCATGACGCGCATTCAACCTCACGAATACAGCCGTCCTTCGTATCCCCACCCTTCACAGAATTCCCTCGGAACAGTACCATCCGGCCTGCGCTCAGGGTTCAGTCCAGTCTCCCAGTCCGTGTCTGTGGTAGTGAGGAATCCACCTACGACCGATACCGCATCAGAGAGCAACCAAGAGACACGTGGAGGGGCAAACCTGACCGGAAGTGATCCACGTGAAAGAGACATTCTCGAAAACGATCTATACTATGCGCCGATGCCAGTGGGCGTAGCTCAACACAGCGAAGGAGATGGGTCAAGGCTGATGTCGGGATCAACCACCAACAGAGGCACGAAACGCAATCACAACGACGACGATGAGCTCGATGGCGACTCTTCACGGCAGCATAGACGTCTCACGACCAAAGAAGAAGTAGCGCTCTTCGAGATCTGCAACCAAAACGCAGACACTTTCGGCAGCCGCAGTAATCTGTGCAAGTGGTGGATATCCATCGCTGCCGAGTTCAAGCGCACCCATGAGGGCCGCTCATACTCGTGGCACTCGGTGCGGCGCAAAGTCGAAATGGTCACGAGGCAACGCATCAAGTTTCTCGAAGACCAGCGACAGCGGGGCTCAAACGCACCCGGTTCAACGGCCGAAGAATTGATGAACCCGCAATGGCTCGCTGCCGTCGATGCCTGGCTTCCGACCTGGCAGCGGTGGGAAGAAGCCGAGAACCGGCGCATTGCAAGGCGTGACGAGATTAAGAAGCGTAGACAGCCGCAGCCCTGGCGCCAGAATTCCAATAACGGAGACCAGGACCCCTGGCGGAATCCGCCTGGATCATCTGCCACTAGCCCAACCGATGTCAACGCCGCAATGATGAGTATGATGCACCAGCATGTCACGAATCCCGTCGGTGATGCTGCACTCCCAGCTACCAGCCCTACGCCCTCGCCCTCAATTACTGGCCCTGCGCCCCCTGCGCATTTCCTCGAATCACCATCCACCCCTGTCTCTGGGACCACCCCACTAAAACTACCACCGGGGTTCGAGAATATGTTCTCAACCCCACAACTCACCTCACAAGTCACACCTCTTCCCTCCATATCCACTCCGCCAGCTCCACCATCCGACGGCCGTATGGTCTCAGCCGTTATCGAAACCCTGGGAAGACTCAACAAACATCTAGATGCCGCACCAGGGAGTGGTATAGACATGAGTGTTGCCTCACCTGTGGTCTCGGCTTTGGTACAGACTGCCTCGGAACCACCGGTTTTGGCTTCTCCCCGGCAACCACAGCACTCGCAAGTACAGCAACAGCCGCATCCACAGCAGGGTCTCACTCACTTCCAATTCGAGCAAATGAAAGAAGAGCTCCGGCGCGAGATGCAGGCCCAGTTTCGAGGTGAGCTGGAGCGTGAACGTCTTGCGATGGAAGAAAAGCTGGATTCTGTGCAGCGGACTCAGGATCTGATTCTTGAGATGTTGAGACAAGAGCCTGCTTGATGCAGTTTGCAACTTTTTCTCTAGACTTGGCTTATGTTGCGTTCGCTTCTCTATTCTGGCTTGTACTTTTATTTTTATTTTTTCTATTTTTTTTTTTGATGATACCCATTATCGACTACGAAGGACGACGTGTCTGCATATCAAGAGGACTGATATTGCTATCCAAGTCTTTACTTTCTTGATATTTTTGATGAGAGTATTGTAGGACTACTCCATAAAATTCCACGCACTGAACTTGAAAAGAACCCAGCCGATGGCAATTGCTCTCTACTCTAGAACAGAAAACAAGTAAACAAACATAAGAGAAAATAGTCATCGGGCTAAATTACAGATAAATGATAGAACGACCCAGGAATCTCTTCCCGAGCCTTCACACAACGATTAAAAGCTCTTCCATGATGCACAGAAGTGCCTATAGGGCGGAACGATCTAGTAGTAGAAAGTCTCATCGACGGTACGACCACGCATCCACTTGGGCTCAGAGCCACGAACGTAGATGTCCTCGAAGAGGTTGCGGGCAGTGTTTTCGGGGACGGGCATCTTCTCAGCCTCGGCGACCTCGGCGTCGACGCTGGCACGGGCGGTCTTGTCCAGACCCTTGAGCTCCTCCTCGGAGGTGACGCCCCACTCGAGCATCTTCTGCTTGAGGCCAGCGATGGGATCGTTGGTGCTGCGCATGCGCTGGATCTCCTCACGGCTACGGTAGGTGGTACCGGGGTCGGACATGGAGTGACCACCGTAACGGTAGGTGACGTACTCTAGGACGAGGGGTCCGTTTCCGGTGATGGCGTAGTTCTTGCTGTACTGGACGGCGGCCTTGGTGGCAAGGACATCCATGCCGTTGACCTTCAGACCGGGGATGTACTGACCACGCTTGTAGTACTCGGTCAGAGCGGAGGAGCGCGAGGCGGAGGTACCCATGCCGTACTTGTTGTCTATAGAAACATAATGTTAGTTACATTTGTAATTCTTTTGGAGGGTGTAAAGACTTGGGAAGAAAACCACTTACTCTCACAGCCGAAGAGAACGGGCAGGTTCCAGAGCTTGGCCATGTTGAAGGCCTCGAAGACCTGACCCTGGTTGGAAGCACCGTCACCGTAGAGAACGATGGAGGTGTTGGGCTGCTCGTTGTACTGCTGGGCGAAGGCCAGACCGGCGCCGACGGGCACCTGGGCACCGACGATACCGTTACCACCGTAGAAGTTCTCGGCGAACATGTGCATGGAACCACCCTTGCCGTATGCGATACCCTCACGACGACCGAGAAGCTCACCAATGATGGACTTGACGGTACCACCACGCATCATAGCGAAACCGTGGCAACGGTAGGCGGTAATAATCTTGTCCATACGGGTGATGGCGTGCTCAATTCCGACAGAGACAGCTTCCTGTCCGGTCGAGAGATGACAGAAACCCCGGATCTTCTTCTCCTTGTACAGACGATCGGCGGCCATCTCCATACGTCTGCAAAAGAACAAGCAGTCAGTCAGCAGCTAGTCCAAACATCCGCTATTCGCGCTTATCGTACCTCATGGCGACCATGTCATAGTACATCTGCTTGAGCTCCTTCTTGGAGGTCTCGAGAGTGTACGGGGGTGGGTCGAGCTCGTAGGTCTCGAAGCTCTCATCGGAGAGACGGACAGTGAAGGGCTTCTCATCCTCCTGTTAAAGCGCATGCATAAGCATCAGCAATTGAAATTCCGGAACCCCCCGGGCGAGGTTTTTCAGATCTTCCAGATAGGGCTCAACAAACCTGCGGGATTGGGGTCTCGACGTTGGCGGATGCGGCGTCGGTGGTAACAGTGCGACGGACAACAGGAGTGAAGGCACGACGCCTCAAAGGCGCAGCCTGACGGACCGCAGCACGGAAGAGCATTTTGTGAGGGAATTGGAGATGGTACGTTGAAGGTGATAGGCACCTTTTTCCGTCCCAACAACTCTCTTCAATTTTGCCGTCTTAGTCAGCTTCCAGATCGGGGCCGCCCGGTGAGGAAAGAGAGGCCGGGTCCGATGTTTTTTTGAACTTCAACTTCATTCTTTGAACTATTCGGCTTATATTTGCTCGGAGATTCTTCTATTTGGCAATTGATTCTATTGGAATTATCAAAATGAACCATTCCAACTAATAACAGCCGTTTCTACTGCGGACTCTTTTCGGGTTTCGATCTCCGACTCGATCCCAACGGTTCGGTAACGCCTCTATATAAACATAGCAACTTCCAACCCTTGGTTCTAGGAGTTATAGGAAGGTCAAATTTTAAAAAATCCCTGGATACTCAATTACCTTTTCTATATCTGTAGGTTATTTAATTGGCTTGTAACAAATTTAACAAACAATGGTCTTGTAAAGCAGAATATATACAAGGCTTGGACATATCAGGAACTAAAAAGGGCAGCACACGAACAACCGAACAACCTAACTTGATAATGGTCATAGTTGAATTAGCAGTCATGAGGACGGAGTTTCAGGCAATCATAATTGCATATCCCAAAGCTCGAAACATGTCTGTTTTGACTGTTGAGGCAGAAAAAAAAAACGTATCCCCGGACTATTGAGAGGAATGACTATTGATATGCTCAAAAGGTAAACCTCCTTCTCAATAACCCTTTTCAGCAACCCCAGAATACCTAACCCTTGGCGAATAAGACCTCGAGGGGATGTCTTATTGACTTTATTGACTTCCAATAGAAGTGCAGTTCATTCTGATATGGCGTGTTTGACCCCGAGCCTCACTATCTAAGATACTGCTTGCCCCCTCAATCGTCATCTCTGTTTTTGCATCAGCTTCTGAACCGGTGTGATCAAGGTACCATCTCGTCTCATGCCCCCTATCCAAAGACAAGAGTTTAACGAACGATCAAGCAGCATCAATCTCAATATGCCGAACCAACGACGAAGAAGGAACCAACGACCAAGAAGGGCCGATCTCATTATCACGAGCTCCACTACCGGAGCAGTTGCTCCGTTTGGACCTCCCACTGGTTGTCCCATTGGTCCCGCTACAGAGCCTCTGGTTATCTTCGTTGCTCGTGGTGCTCCCTATCCCACACCCATGGAGCTCAGCCAGCAGAAGCACCGTCTTCGTCCCGTTCTAGGCGAGCTCCAGGAGAAGTTTGAGAGAAAGTATGGGCAGCTTGAAGGCCGTTCCTACTGGTACTGTCCATTGATTCATAAATCGGCCACCCCACTTGATCCCGACTGCGACTCGTTCCGGTCCCTGACCGATTCCCTCGCGTATGGCCGAGCTCACGGCCGCGACGTCATGTTTGTCACCCAAAACTGGGACTCCATCACCTCCGACGGACAGAGCTTTGCGAATATCTTCAAGGATTTCACCGACGTCAAAGTGACTATTCGCATCCACGGCACGATTTCTACCGACCACGTTGCCGCATTCCACGAGATCGACGCACACCGAGTCAGCGCCCACTACCAAGGCTTGATCAGATTGGAGGAGGAGTATGTCATTGATGATGCACTACGTTACGTGGTCCGAGTCGAAGAAGTCCGCGATGTCAGGATTGGAGTTGAGAATTCGGTTGGCCCGATGAGGGAATTGACAGGCGAACCTGAGTCAGTGGTCTTGCAGCGAGTGCTGTGGATGCTTTGATGCAGGGAACCAAACTGAGAAATTGGGCTGTTGGATATTCATGGGGATGTGAGGAAATCTGACGATGGACGTGTTCCCTCCATGGGTTGAGACCTGTGATTCTGTGCCCAAGCTTCTTTGTCCAAGGGTTGATGCACCGATGTATCTTACCAGCTTTGAGAAAGCCTACTTACAATGCTCGAACAAGCATTGAATATCGCTTGTTCTTGAGATCAAATGAAACAATATTACATCCATAACTCATTACTTCCTATACATGATATGAATTCCAAGCATTTGTATAATGTAGAACATGGAACCTGTTCGCCCTGCACGATACCTATACATCGACCGTTAGAGCGTTCATATACTACAATCCCAACAGAAGCCCTGTATTGTATAGGGGATGTTTATAGCCAAACCAGTTAAGATGTAATACAAAAGACCTAAAGTGTGCACTTGACACATCACAGTGATCAAAAGCCGTTGAACAAAACCAGAAACAGACACGTCGCATCGACTCAACACTAAGAAGGAAATACGTGTCAGAAACATCAAATAAACAAAGTACGAAGTACTCTCTGTAAAGGACAGATAGATCTAAAAATACAGTAGACGCTATTACCAACGTTAAAAGCAGTTGCATACCAAATCCATCATTGAATAACGCCACGTCTCCATGAGTTCGCGCATTAGCTCAGATGTATCCATAACTCATATTAACTTATATTACCACTCTATTCTAATGGGTCTGTTCAGCCTCACAAATAATAGACCTGAAACATTAGGCTGATTCAGCTGAGACATCGATTGGTCAACAGAGACTCCTAGTGGCCAGAGCTGATAGGATTCAGAAGGTCTGATGTGAGTGTGTGAGAGTGCGTATGAATGAGTGTGAGGGGGCAATTCAAAGGATCTGAACAATCCACTTATACGGACGATCAGGATTTCATGTGTACACACGTGTGTACACCAGAACTTCGTTCTCGGAGACTCATTGGATATATATTGTAGATCAGTATCATGGTCCTACAACATGAAAGGCATATTAGCTCTTTACCAAAGTCAATTCTGAGTCAACCAACACGAAATGATCTATATCCTCGTCTGGAGCTGGAGAGCTGCGATCTACATCGACTAAAACGTGTCGAGTCTCTTATATTGTATGTACGGGTATCTGCCCAGCCAATGAGACCTACAATGTAAATATGCACACAACTACATTCAACTGTCAAAGGATTAAAAGGTTGGATTTCTAAATCTAGTAACTGCGGGAGTAAGTAACTATAGTTAGTAACTAGTTAACTAGTTATGGAGTAACTAACTAGGAATGCTGTAACTAGTTAGTTAGTTATTGTATGGATGTGATTGTATCACTTCCTACTTATGACAGGGTAAATTATTATTATTATTATTTTCTTCAAAGCGACCAGTTTGAACTCTGAAACACTGGTTTGACGATGTGCTCTCCTGCAGAATTGAAAGGAGGTACGGAGTAAAGGATCACCCCAAATGAGTTAGACTGTATTTACATTATTTACATTACAACTCTCCGCTCTGGAAACTTTCAACGGCGATGATCATTCAGTGATCTATGCGCGTTATTTATATGTAAAGCGTACATACATGGATTGTATGGAGTATTATTGCAAGATTGCAGAAAGAATACGGAGTACCTGGATATACAACATACTAATTCTACGGTCTAGACCAAGGTAGCCCATTGACCTGTCGGATAGGGGTACTCCGTAGTCATCTCTATATGCCTAGACTTGACAGCTCTAGGGCCGAACAAGAATTTGTTACGAGTCAACTCCATTCTCTGACCGTTCTTTGTACTCTGTATTCCGTGCATGGTAATTCTCCGACGCCTGACCTGCAGGGCAGCAGGGCAGGGGGCGGGGAGGGCGTACATAGTTTGTGACAGATCCAATATCAAAACCCCACCTCAAAAGGGGGAAGACGTTGCCAATCGTCATCTAGCAATGTTGTATATCAATTGATACAGAGCTACTCATTGGCAATTCCTCTAACAATCCAGAATCCTGACACAACAGAGATGTAACTAAAGCGAGTACAGGCAGTCTGCAGTACCCCCAAAATACACAGGGGTGTATCCACCGTAGTGCAAACGACATTTGCATCCACCCTGGCAACAGTACATACTATGCAAACTAATTTCTCCTAATCTCGCCTCTCCTATTTCTGGGGCAGTTGGTTAAGCGCTAATGAGTGGGACGAAAAACAATAGACCCGCTGTCAAATGCGGACGCGAGAGAAACCAGGAGCTCAAATTGAAGGCGAGGTAGATCAATTAGGCCAAGTCTTTTTCTGGTTGACCCAAGTTGCCCAGGTGGCATGTTGCTTAGCTATGGCATAAAAACCTCCGTTGGAGTCCGTACCCAGGTAGTCCATGGAAAGGGCGATCGTCAAGACTCCGGAGGTATCTAGACGCCACCCCGTTCAGTCCGAAGCCAAGGACCAATTTTTGTTGATCCGGATGTCGATCATAGATAGTAGGGGTTAATCGACTGGAAATTGAAGCTGGGGTAAGTAACCCTTGGAATGGTTGAAGAGAAATGGCGTCATTGCAGAAGGATTTCCCGCTGATAAGAAGAAAATAAGTCTCCGAAAGGTTTCCAGAATCCTTCTGCAGAGCCAAACAACCTTGGGACTGACATGGAAAGCCGTTTGGAGCCACCGTGAAAATTTCCAAGGTTGGTTTCCAGGAGCGTGGTCCTTAGGGCAATATGGAGTGGGGATAATGGATTAGTGGATCAATGAGCCGCGTAAGATCACGTGAGTTGCCGATAATCAGTGTCCGAAGTAAATGCACTTGCAAACCTTGTTATCAACACTCACGGATCCTGATTTCTTTCCCAAGTTTCACGGTTTCTTGGAACGACTGGAGGAAACTCCCAAGGTTGGCGGATTTGCCGAACTATTTGAGGGTTGAAAGTCCATGGAAAAGATATAAATGGGAAGCCAGTGGGAAGAAACCCGAAATTTAAAGTCATGGAGCTAAAAGCCAGAAGAAGAAGTTAATAGTTAAGTAAAAAAAAAGGTTATAATCTAATTTAATTTATGTCCTCCGTATATATGGAGACACTCCATATGGAAATTAAAAATATTCCGATTTCAGGATCAGATCCCTTAATGGATTCCAAGGGTAAAGACCGATCGGATATCCGATGACAACTCCGAGGTAGAATTGCATTGAAGTACCGAGGTAAGTATGTATACACTCTGCACTCTACTATTTACATCTATCTAACTCGCTCACTACATAGTATAACTAGTTATATAGTATAGTTATAACTACCTAGGTATATAAAAAGATAACTATATAATAAGGGGTGTAATAACACAGTAACTGTAAAAAAAAAAAAGAAATTTAAAATAATATCTCAGGGGATCTCCACCTTTTTCATATATCCATGGTTCAGACTGGAGACTATTGTACTAGTACGATCTGACCAATATTTTTCAATTTGGTTTTTTTTTTTTGGGGTTTTTTTCATTTTCTGTTTTACCTTAGCATGTGTCCACTTTAAACGTGTGATATACTTTTTTTTTACGCCCCTGTTCAGCTCCATCTCTCCAATCTCTTCTCTTGTATACTTCGTATACTCCGTACACTTTGAACGCCCCGTTAATTATTTGGGTTTAGTTATTTTTAATTGTTTCTAATTATTTTGGCTTTAGTATTTGTATTTGGCCTTATTTTTTTTGATTACATTTGGTTTGCTTTTTTGGACATCTCCTTTCGCCTTGTTTTTTTCCCTTCTTCCCCCCCCACCTCTTTGTTCCCTTTGAGTCGATGTGGAAACGTTCACCTAGATCGGAGGACAACTCTGGGAACGACTCAACTCAACATCCTCTATCTGAGCTGGGTCTCCTAGGTCGGTCCAGAAAGTCCAAAAGTAAGTGTCTCTCTATCAATATCAGCATATCTAGTCTTGGACCAAATGTCCTAGATCTGAGACCTATTGTGGCCTGTTCTAGATGCCTCATGGGGCAGGTCGGAATAAAACGACCCTCCCCTGAGTGTTGTTTGGGGCTTTTTTTCTTTTCTTTTCTTATATCCACACTTGCAAACCTCCAGTTCCTACAAAAGAGGCCCAATCTGCCATTAGTCTTCAAAGGCCACCCCACCTTGCTAACCAGATACCTGTGACGTACAGAATTTCAATCGCAGCCAGAATCATCCTCGCGTTCACCTCTTCGTTCGTTTCGTTCATTAACTCGAGGCGTGCTAGACCGGCCTAGCAGCAGTCTTTCCAACCAGACCGATATCACCCGGTCAAGAGCACCCTCGGCTTTCGCATCGATTAATTCGGCTTACCCAGAACGTGTTGGTCAATCTGCGCATTCAAATCGCTCACGAACATCATTTCACTCAAGATCGGGACGGACAACAGGCCCAATGGAGGTAGATCGCACTCACACACGGAGGGAGAGGACCTTTGTCGGGAGTGAATGCGCCGTCTGTGAGGAACCCCTGGAGCATACCCTACGCGGCGAGCGTATTCTGCAACTCTCTTGCTCCCATGTCTCCCACGAGGCCTGCTTTTACCAATTTCTGCGGGAATGCGATGGACAAGATTGCCCAAGCTGCAATGCGCCATTGGCTTTGGACACAAGTCGAGGTGGAAATGTATTGGATATCGGTATGTTCCTCGTGCGGGGTTCAGAGGGACCCAGAATGCTAATGTGATTTTTTTTTTTTACCCAGAGAAAATCAGTAATATCGTTCGCTCAGTGACGTCGAATGATACCGCTACAGTACGCAGTGGCTTGACAGCACCCACTCCATGGGAGCAGTCCAGTCGACGAGCACCGAGTGATTCCGGCAGTCGCTACACCTCGGGTACCCGAGAGCCACCAGCTTACACCTCAACGAGGGAGCCATCCTACAACCCCCCAGCAAAAGAACCATCCTACAACCCTTCGAGAGATTTATCCTATAATCGACGAGATAGTCGGGATACTAGCAGCCAGCGTGAGCGCGTAGAGCGATT